CAGTAATACATAAATTTCTTTCTCTAAAATCTAATACGTTGTTACATACACGAGCGAATCGTACAAGTTGAGATATATAAACACCATAAGATGGTGACAAGGGAACGTCACCATCTAAAAATGGACAATTAACGATAGGAAATGAAAAATCATCTCATTTATCATAAATTTTTGTATTAAGCTTCCCGTTAATGATATAGATATCAAGATCGAGGAAAGGACAGTGTTCATTGTTAGTATTAGCTTTATTTAAAGTAAGTTCAACAGGATAAATTTCTTCAGTATACATACTGAAGTCGTCATTATTGAGAGCCAATATATCATCCAAATATCTAAAAGTATTGTTTAATTTTTGTATCAGATGTTGTTTCGATGGGTCTTTGCTGATTTTAGTCATAAATTGTAACTCATAACAATACAAAAACAGGTCCGCAATAAGTGGTGCACAGTTAGTCCCCATTGGAATTCCGATAACTTGACGATATACGGAATCTCCAAAGCGAACAAAAATATTATCAAGGATAAATTCAAGGGCAGATATAGTATCAAAGCATGTCCAATTGACATAGCTCTTTTGTAAGCTGCTACTAAAAAATGACCTAAAAGAGTTTGAACATATGTATTCGCATTCCGACTTTTTAAATGCTATTTAATTAGGTGTGTGAATTTTTTCTTAATAAGAATATGAGGCAAAGTGGTATATAGGGTAGAAAAATCAAAAATTTGAACAGATTCAAAATATATTCCAATATATGCATGCAAATTATCAAATACTTCCAACGAGTTTTGACACTCCAAAAGTAGTTAATTCCACTATTTTCAAAGGCCTTATTTGAACAATTTATTATCAGGTTTTTGATTGTACCAAGTGTACTAGTAAGTAGAATAGACAATTTAGTAGTGGAACAAAGACTTGAAGACGAAATAAATCTATATTTGTAAGGTGATTTGTGTAGCTTCGGAAGCCAGTACATAGTTGGGACTTTCATTGTATTTGGTTCTGCTTGTAAAGAAGTAGCTAATAGTTTATGTTTGTTACAGATATCGTTTTCTGAAAATGAAGTCAGTTGGAATGTTGGTGAATTCGTGATTTCCTTTTGCAGAACCTCAATGTAAAATTTAGGTCAAACTATAATGATATTATTAGCAGCTTTATCAGCCGGGACAAAAACAAATTCCTTGGCTAGTTCTTTTAGTTTATGTTTGATACGAGAAATATGATTTTTATGGTTGTTGTTAAGAGTAAAATGTTCTTTAAAATGTTGAATACGCATATAAAGTATCTTCATTACTGAATTAAAAAAAGAGTCTTTTTCCCGTTTTATCCATTTCAAACAGTAAGCACGAAGTGAGTCGTGGATGATATTACGACACTCATTCCAATTAATAATTGACGGGGGACGATATTTAAGTCCTTTATTGAAGAATGATTTTAACTCTCGGTCACGAACGATGTTAAGGTCTCCTGTTATAACATGGGAAATGGGGCCATAAGTGTATTCGGAATTACTACAATTACATGACGGAGGTGTATTTTCACCGATATTTACATCTTTACAGACTTGGCTATAATTAAACACAAATTTTCGGGTAGATTTCTTGTAAATATAACAAATAAGAGGGAGTTCAGTATTATCAAAATAGTTTGTTCTTATGTTGTACTGTTACACCACTGTCCCAGGTTAGGGGAGGGTTGGCGTCTTCAAACTAGTTTACACCCGCCACATTCTTTATGTGTCTGTTCCAAGTCAGGAGCCTGTAATTCGGTGGTTGTCGCAGTATATCAAATTTTTTTTTCGTTCATTATTCATAAGTCATGCCGTTAATTTTCTCGTTTGAATTGTTTTACATTTGTCATTTCGAGGCCTCTTATAACTGACTATACGGTATGGGTTCTGCTCAATGTTGAAGACCGTACGGTGACCTATAGCTGTTAACTTCTATGTCATTTGGTCTCTGGTGGAGAGTTGTCTCATTAGCAATTATACCACACCTTCTTATTTTTATAAAGGTACCTTCACTGGCAAATACGCAGAAACTGTAGAGGAAATTTATGCTCAACAGTACAGTGTCAATACTTTTTCAAAGCCAATGGATTCATTCTTGTATATTCAATTTGCGATGCAAGATCCTTTGAGGAAACAAAAAATATATGAGGACAGATACATTCTGTCAGAGAAAATGCTTTTAGTAAAATTGATGTAGTCGTTGGAAATGAACTATTTTCAGAGAACAAAAGATATGATGCATTATAGTGGGATCAAAGTGAGAACCTTGGTGGATGTTTTCTAATATCTCATGTCTTGACTTACATCTAGAAATTGACAACGAGGGTCGGTTGAAAAAAAAACTTTACGACAAAAGAGATGATTTCAGCTTCCCAATTGTGAACTTTCCATTTCTAAGTAGCAACATTTCAGCAGCGCCTGCATACGGAGTATATATCTCCCAATTGATACGATATTCCCGGGCTTGTGTTTCCTATCATGATTTCCTTGATAGAGGATTCCTGCTCACAAGGAAGCTATTAAACCAAGAGTTCCAAAATGGTGAAGTTGAAATCATCCCTTCATAAATTTTACGGACGCCATCACGAGTTGGTTGACCGTTATGGAATAACCGTTTCACAGATGATATCGGATATGTTCCTTGTGTCGTAACTACAATACCCTTCCCTTTTCACGAATGTGACTTACCAAATTAGACTATTTACCGGATTTGTAATAACATAAGCAACACGACGGGTGCCACATGTGGAGCAGGATCTGCTTACCCTTCCGGAGCACCTGAGATCACCCCCAGTTTTTGGTGGGGTTCGTGTTGCTTAGTCTTTAGTTTTCTATGTTGTGTCATCTGTACTATTTTTTGTCTGTTTGTCTTTTTATTTTTGGCCATGGCGTTGTCAGTTTGTTTTCGATCTATGAGTTTGACTGTCCCTATGGTATCTTTCGTCCCTCTTTTCTAAGAGTTTTCGGTAAAAGTGCAATTAAAAAAAAAAATTCTATCTTTTCTAGGGCAATTAAGCATCATTTAACCATTTGATTCCGGTTAACTTGTTGACAAAATAATAAACACAAACATTAGCATTAGTTTGTTCTAGAAAGGTTGTTCATATCATATCTTCTAGATAATTGCAGTTTGTATTCTAAAACCAAAGACATACAGTAAAGTACAAACTATCCCTTAGCACAAAAACTACATTATTCATTCTATTTTGCTCCAGTTTAATTTTTTTCCAAACCTTCCAAGATTTATCTAAATGATGTCATGAGTCATTCACTTACTTTTCAGTACATAATTTATTTAGAAGCGTTTCATGTATGAATGTTGATTTACTACCTTTTCAGCTTTTGATTTATGAATCTTTAAAACAAAAGGATTCCTTAATCTAATGCTTATTGGAGTCAAATTTGTAAAATTTCTAAGATGCTGCTGTATCATTCTCATAACCAAATGTAACATACATGAATGTAAGGTCACTGTGTCAATAACTACTAGGTTAAAACGCACATATGACTACCAATATATTTGTAAGAGTTGTCTCACATATTTCATGTCTACCCCCTTAAACAACCCGTAAAAAGACTTTACAGTGAAATGCGTATGAAAACAGAAATTTGCATGGAGTAGTAGTAGATGGACCGAATATCGTAACAGCTAAGTTCATCACTGTTGTCAAGTGTGTTTAATATCTAGAATTCATCATTAAAAGAATAGTAAACATTAATTAATAAAAGCATGGTCCATGCCACTCAATACTACATTTAACATTCACATTTCGCAAAAAAAAAAAAAAAAAAACTGCAACATTTGATTCCAATTTTCCACGTTCAAATGAATTCTAAACATTCCACACCAGTTTCATTGCTTTCAAATTCAACATTACATGTTTTATCACTGCACACTCAGTTGTGGAAAACAAACATTCTATTTTTTTACATTCAATATTCGATCTCAACATTCGGCATGCCTTTTTCGACATTCAACTTTTGATATCACCAAATATCATGGTTAAAAATTCAACATGCAATTTCTACATTTAAAAATCACTTTCAAATTTTAAAATTCATTCCAACATTCAACATTCAACCTGTATGCTTTAAAATTCCTTTTAACTATTCAAAATTGATTTTAACAATCAAGAAACAATTTTCAATGTTCAAAATTTGACTTAAATTCGATTTCGTCGGATAAAAAGGGGAATATACCAAGGAAGCAAACTACAACAAAGATTCGAAAAAAAACCCAGATAAAATCATGCTAAAGGTAAAATACGAACTGACAAACACTAGTCTATAAAACATTATAGAAAAACTAAAGATTTAGCAGCACGAACACACCCAAAATAAGAGGCGAATTCATGTACTACGGAAAGGTCAACAGTTCCTGCTTTACTTATGACACCCATCGAATTACATCTTTTAAACTCCATTGGCGAAAGATATTCGATGATAGTGGATGTGTATATGGTGTTGCTTCTGCTTTAGTTTTCTGTTTTGTACTTGTGTGCTTTTTGTTTCATCTGTGATGTTTAACTCAATGAAAGGCTTGTCTATCCCACTTCCAGAAAAATTAAGACTGATTTGCAATGCGAATCCTTCCTACTTGTGGTTTGAAAGTAGTTTTTGATGAACACTTTCTACTGCAAATAAACAAAAACTGGTCTTTTCTGTTGCTTTCAAAACGTATAGAAACCTCTTAAGTTTACAAATATTAAATCTTTTAAATGGAAGCAACAAAATACTAAGATACAGTATTTTTGTTCTGTGTATTGTAATAGTGATGTGAGATCACGACCAAACAATCAAAACCTATTTTTGCATCCTTTTTTGTTTTGTTTGTTTTACATATCCATAAAGCCGATGAAAAACTGTCAAAAATGTTTTATACATGTATATGCTAAGCTAACATTTATCTCAACTGACGCAAAAATATTTGGTTGTTTTGTTTAGAAGAAAAATGGTATGGTGAGTCGAAACTAAACATCAACTCACTTAAATGGCATGCGTTGCTGTCATCAGTAACAAAATGGATCGCTCATGTGTTGCACATGACGAAATCTCAGCAGCAGTATATCCTTTCAAAATAAATAAATGTTGTAATAAGGAGGATTTCTGTATTTGTGAAATGTCTCATAAAAGCAACATCTAGTATCTTTACTTTTTCTTTGCATCATAAAAATATCTGGTTACAGCAATATATAGTAGGAAGGATTTCCATGTTGACTGCATATTTATTTTTTTAAACTAAAAATTAAAGATTAACAATAAAGTACATTCTTACAACCAAGATATTTTTCAATAGCTTTTATGCTTACCGACTTTCAATGACTTTTTAACGAACTGTTATCAAGTACTTGAACATGCATTAAAAGATTTCCATTTACGTAAGATGAATTATTTTATTGGATTTATAAGAGTAATTCTTATTTATTTATTTGTATTTAAAGGCTTAGTCGTGCTTCTTTTGATTAGCATTTATAATTACAATCATAACATGCTTTTTTTATGAATATAGGTTTTTGGTACTACTTACTGTTTTAAAAAAAACCTATATCTTAACATAAGACATTTTTATATTTGTTCTCTTGTAATTCGTTATTTGGTGATGAATCTTGGCGTCGAAAAAGGTTGCTTAAAAGTTTATTTAGTTTCTTCAATCCTTGAGTTTTTCCTTTAGCTACACGATTTGGTTGGCTAGATGTATGTCCAAATTCTCTGCGATTTACTGTCTCTTTCGTTTTAATAGGCTGTGAATCTTTAAAGCTATTGGATTTCTGAATTTTATTTTGCTTCTGTTGAACTTTATAGATATAAGTTTCTTTGTAGCCTTCAAACATCGTGTCTTGGAAACTTTTACTGGAAGCCTCAACTTTCTCAAAGGTCATCATCTTTTTGTTTTTTATGTGTTTGCTCTTTTGTATCCTATCCTCTTTTCGTGTAAAGCTTGTTGACCGAATTCGAAATGTTGTGGTTTGTTTGGCTCTTGTGTTGCCTAATTGCTCTAGAAGAATGTCAAATATTTCTTTAATTGCATTGTTGTCTTTAGCCGACACCTCTAGAAAACACCCACCAAGGTTCTCACTGTAAGCCCACTCTAAAGCATCAAACGTTTCTACCTCTCTATTGTTCTCTGAATCTAGTTTGTTACCAACGACTACACAAGGTATACTCAAAACATTCTCTCTGATGGACTTTATCTGCTCCCAAATACGTTTAATCTCCTCGAAGGATCTTGCATCGCAAATTGAATATACGAGAACAAATCCTAATGCTTTTGAAAAGTATATCTTCCGCATAGCTGGAAAGTAAATATTCCCTGCAGTATCCAAAAAGTTCATGTATCTTCTCTTTCCATTGATACTGTACTGTTGAACATGCATTTCCTCCACAGTTTCTGAGTATCGGTTAGAGAAGCTTCCATGTAAATATCGCATCAGAATAGAAGACTTCCCGACATATCCTGATCCTAAAACTGGTATTTGGCATTTTGAATCAAGCTCTGACATTATTACAAGGTACTCGAGTTTGAATTTGATCAACTTATCTACACATAGCAAATTTTATACAAAAATTTTATTTGAAGGTGTGAATGATATTTTCCAATCAATTGTCGAGAAGACACTTCGCTGAAAATGTATAGTGTAGGTGGTTGTATGTTCTATCCTTATTTAGGTAAAATGATTATCAACTTCACCATAGAGTAATTCAACTATACCAAAACTTTATATGGTAACCCATCTCTGTTTAAGCCATTGAGTTGTTATGACAATTTGTAAAGCATTAGTTTTAAAATTGAAAATGCAAAAAAAAAACATCCGACATACTTGTTCCCAAATCTTAAAAGATAAAAAGTTAACCCCTTGTTTTCGTGTTGCACGGGCTTTGTTTTTTTTAATTACGCATTTGTTCGATTCTTGTTTGTCTTTTGTCTATTTCTGTTGGTCTGCATTTTTTCTGTCTTTCTTTGATGTTCAGTTGATCTCATTGTATCTTTTAACATTCACTAAAAGCAATGGAGTGAAAGGTGTAATCATTCTTCCAATGTATTTAAGTACGGTTGTTAGAGTTAATCATAGCCGTATTATGACTACAATATAATATTATATGTTGTGATATGAGTAACTGTATGTTTATTGTTAGGGAAACACATTATTACATGTGTGTGAAGAAAAACTCTTTTAAATTTGCATTATAAATGTATCGGACACTTTTTATCAAATAAAAACAGAAAATAAATTATAAAACCGAAAAAAAAACGGAAAACGGAAAACAAAACAAAATGAATGATTTAATAGCATAATTGTTCATTGTGTGTATTCAAACGGGTAAATGCAAATTTGGTGTTATACAAAAGCGTTTACTTTCATGTATTATATTTAGTGTTTAACATTGTCATTCAAATTTTGTAACTTTTCAAAATTTGGCATTTCTATCTCTACGCGAAGTAGTGTGCTCCTCGAGGACCAAAACATGCCAATAAAGTAGGGAATCAGAATCGAGATCTTAAATTATAATTTCCTTAATTTCGACATTGGCTGTCCTTATATGTACCAATTTATCCGTATTTTTTTTTTTAAAACAAGAAAATAGACAAACAGAAGTAAGAGTTTTACACATATATTATTTTATAATTACAGACTGACTGACCTTATTTTTGTTTATGAAATCAATGTGTGGATTATAAATTATCACACGTTTAAATAAGAAAACAAGCAAATAGATAACTTAGTGGGTGTAAGACAGAATTTAAACAAATAAATATCATGTAATAATGATGTACTCATTTTTAGATTCAAGTGCAAATTGGGAAATCAGAAACTTAAATGTAAACAACATCAACACCTTTATGAAAAATGAAATACAACTTTATAAATTTCTGAAACGATTTTCTGATTTCCCTTCATCAGGAACGCTCATACCAAAACACATGCACATGTATGTGATAAAGTCATAAAAAAGAATGACCAAATCCATCAAGTTCAACTTTGCCTGAGGGAGTTAGATCCTAAGTTTTTAAGATAATTTCTCAAATTATCAATTGATTATTCATTTGTTATCGAAAATTAATCATGTAAGTACCGATGCACGGACTACTGAGCTGATGATACCAATTTAGACTAATAGACTAATTTCTGGATCTACATTCATCAGGAACGCTCATAACCAAAACATTGAAAGCTACTGAAACATGTGAAGGCCTATATGACCAAAAAAGTTATAATGCTATGCTAATAGAAATAATCCACAATGCTTTTCTCCATAACAAGGGTACCATTAGTCACAAATTTGTTGTTTTTGGATACAATTCGGCATATTTTGTTAAAATGAACCCGAGGATAAAACATACTACACTGAAGAACAAGTGATCAGTGTACTGGAATTTCTCATTGACAGCATATTTGTTGAATTTGGATGTAGAATTTTTCAGCAGATTGTCGGCATTTTAATGGGAACCAACTGTTTTCTTCTCCTTGCCGACATTTTCTTGTTTTCATATGAGACGGAGTTTTTTCAGACACAAGTAAAAACGAGATGATAAAAGAAGCTACATCACTTAATTCCACATACAGGTATATTGATGATGTTCTTTCCATTAACAATCTAAACTTTTCTAATTGGGTGACTGGGGAATAGAAGTATGGTCACCATTGGTCTTCCTCCGACCGGCAGTAAAACCCTCGCTAAAGTGGGGCGTCCGTTTGGCTGTACGGGATGTACAAATTTGCAGCCACGTCCGGTCAGAATGGGGACGTTCAATCCGATGCCTCGTGCAAACAGAGTGCCACGCTCTTTGCACGTTAAGAACCCTTGCAACAACTCTTTGAGGGGTCCGTAGGTGACCTGTTGCAAGGCTAAATTTTTGACCCTATCCAATATACCCTCATTTCCCGTGGCAGTCTAAATTTCTCCGACCTTAATCCCGGACGCCTCTATTACAGAACCTACATATTGTATTTATTGTTAATTTGTTCTCGTCCTGAATATGCATGAAATATTTGCCACTGGACGTTAAGCAACCAACAATCAATCAATCAATATAATTGGCTGCCATTCAATTAACATCCTGAACTAGAGATTAATGAAACCACAGATACAGCTTCCTCTGTCTTATTTTTAAACATGTACCTCGAATTTGATTACAGCGGTCATCTTAATACCAGAATCTATGACAAACGAGACAATTTCAATATTGAAGTTATGAGGTTTCCTCTACTGGGCAGCAATATTCCAACTTCACCCGCGTATGGAATATATATTTCGCAACTCATACGATATTCAAGAGCTTGCAGCTGCTAAAGGTGAATCCAAGGGGGTGTCAATTGGTCATGTGACACCACCTAAGGTTTTCAAAAATGATGCGCCACATAAATTATAATTCAAATTTTGATTCATTTACCAATTAGTCTATCACTAATAATATACTTGCCATTCTACTTTTATTTTAAGGCAAAAACATGAACCTTGACACTAATGTTTATAAAATAAATACAATATATGAATAAATAAATAAATAAATAAAGACAAAATACAAAAGAAGCATTGACAAAGTCAGCTTGGCAACTAAAAGCATAAAGAAATGCAACTAGTTTAACCGTTCAAACATCTTGTCATTCTTTAACAATTGTCTGTAGGATAGTAACCAGTTCCGAATGTGAGCGTTAAAATAGTGCGCTCACGTTCCTGCAACTGTTTACGTGAAATAGAAAAGAAATAACTGAATGAATTAGCACTGATGCACGTGCATTATGATTTATGATCATGGTACTTAACATTTAGATTTGATACTAAGTAGTGTACACTTTTGCTCCTAGACATAAAAGAAAAACTAATACTGATTATGACGGATGCCTATTTTAAAATTACTACTTGCAAATTAAATGCATATTGAGAACGAGAAAATAATAATTCAATATACATTTTTAAACCATGTTATAAACTAGACCTGTGCTGGATTCTAAACGTGCTAAGCTAACAAGGAAACAGTCCACAGGAAGACATGTCACCCTAACCGGACACATTATTCTGATACACAGACAGACGGCAGCCTGTGCTCTTACTCATAAATGCCGCGTGATTAACAGAGAAGCAGCAAATATGTATAGTCAAGTCTTTTGTTTTACCCCACGACCTCCCGCACTCGAGGTGAGCACGATACTACAAGACCAACGAGGTGGTAAAAGAAAATGAAATTGTAATCAATTGTGTAAACCATGTGTTACCATTTGTTTAGTTACTACCTCAATGACCTTGAAACATTTTAAAAGTTTGTTTAAGTGACACCCCCTGAAAATGTTTTGGATCCGCCCATGGCTACTACTCAGAATTGGTAAAACGTCATCAGTGAGCAAAAAAACTAATTAACCAGGGTTTTGTCAAAAAACGTCTCAACCTTTTCTCAAAACGTTCATTGGAAAGTACCAAGACCTAATAGATAAATATTCAGTGTCTATTTCACAAATAATACAGAATGTTCTTGGGTTATAGATTCCAATTTTGTTTTTCCTTATTTGTTTTTGAACTTTTATGTCCCTTTTAGTTGTATGACTCTTGAAGTCGCTCGGTATTTGTCTCAGATTTATTTATATGTTTGTTTGAAATTTTAAGTCAGTTATGTTTGTATGTCTTTGATGTATCTTTACACAGTTTTGGCTGCTGGATCCCAATTATTGTAGCGAACCAATTATGTATGTTTGGGTTGCTCACCATATTTTTTCATTATTACGGAACAGTAAATAACTGTCATATAAATGGAAGGTTTAGCTAGCTATAAACCCAGGTTAAACCCACCATTTTCTTCGAAAAAATGCCTGTACTAAGTAAGGAATATGACCGTTTTTTCCAATCGTTCCGTTGGTTTATATAGTCGAGTGTTTGATTTTGTCAGGTTTTATAGACTTTCCCTTTATGAATTTACCTTGGAATTCGGTATTTTTGTTGATACTTTTTTATAGCACTGTCTGGTGATTGGAGGGATGGTTGCTCACATGTTTAACCCCGCCAGAATCTGTATATGCTTGTACCAAGTCATGCAGGAGCCTGTATTTTAGTCGTTGCCGTTGTTTTGTGTTTTTCATATTCGTTTTTCGTAATTGTATATTTATAAATAAGGCCGTTGGTTTTTTTATCTGAATTGTTTCACATTTTTCATTTAGGGGCCTTCTTTTTCTGACGTATGGATTTTGCTCATTTTTGAAGACCATACGGTGACCTGTAATTGATTATATCTTCGTCATTTGAACTCTGGTGGATATATGTCTTATTGGCAATCCTACCATCTCCTAATTTTTTTATAAGGAATAACAAATTTTATCTAACGTCAACTTTGCCTGAGTGAGTGGGAACAGTTTTTTTTTAATAATTTCTAAATCTAGAAAGGATTATTCAATTGCAAACGTATTTTGAAGTAATGTCAGTTCTGAAGAATCGCGACTGCTGAGCTAATGATAACCTCAGGAACTATAATCAGAACATCAGCGGCGTTATCAAATGCTAATAACGCTTTATAAATGTGTTGCTTCTAAAGCGCTTTTTCTGGATTTACTTTCATAAGAAACTAGAAACTACTCCATACCGTTAGTTTTTTGTTGTGTTTTGTATAGCGTGCAGTTGCTATGAAAATATAAATGTAAAAACGGAGAGATAATAGTCGACGATTTTGCATGTGTGAATTTTTTGCGCAGAAATTTAAGAATTATTTGAAGAAAATCGAAAAAAAAACATACGATGCAGTCCGGTAAATCCGCCCACATAAGGCTTTGATCGTATGTATTTCTGCTTAATTATAAACAAACTGTATCAAATTTAACATAATTCGATTCACTGACAAATCAATTTTGATGAAACGAGTTTTGTAAGCAATTATATGATTATCATTAGCTCTAGGGACTGAATTGTATATATCACTAGATATTTTCGTAATAAAGGATTTTTCTTTAAAATTTGACATGCAGTGATGATAAGTACAGTTCCTATGAATAAAATAGCAGACTAAATATTCACGGAAGTGACAATTACGGAAGTAAATGGGAGTGGGCGGGTTTATCGGACGGGCGAAATTATCGGACACTACTGTACCGATATCTGATTGTATTTCTGTATAAGTTGCCCATTTAAAAGTCTTCTGTAAGCATCCTTCTTAAAAAAACATTTAGATTCTTCCATTTTCTTATTCAAAAAAATCAAGCAGTAATATTCTAAGATCGATGTACTTATTTAGATATATTATAATGAGTAAATTGAACCAAATTCAGTATTCGTTGCTAACAAAATAAAAACACAGCATTTAGCGTATAAATATGATCAGAATATCCATTTTATTTTCAAAAACTATGACCATATTTCCACCTGTGTATTTATTAAAGCACATACATAATTACATGCATTGTATATAAAATATCGTGTTCATGATAATTATGCGGCATATCACAATCTGCAGAAAGATTTTATGTATCTTTGTGCAACTATCAGAAAGGACAGTGGAACTAGAATATATATTATGGCACGGACCTTCAAAGCCAGAACTGCTTTCTGCAAATGAATACCAACATTAAAAGCAACATCAGCATCCAAGTCTATAAAAATCATAATTTCAGTAGAAATGGCAAATCAAATCGTTATATGGAGCCTAGTCTTTGAAGGTCGTAAAATCTGACTAAAAAAAAATTTCAACATTCAACAACTAATGTCCACGTAAAATCTTCAAGATCTTCTAGCCAAAAAACATAGACCATAAAGACCTATATAAACAAAAACCCCAAAGAGACTTACGAGAAGAAATTAAATAAAGGCATTGGAAATAGATTGGCTGTGTATAACGGAAAGACCAAATTGTTATGACAAAGATAGTCCATCGTTGGACACCAAATAGGAAAAGAAAGAGAGAAATACCAAGAAAAACATGGCGACGCATAACAGAGAGGTAACTGAGAAACATAGAAATGACATAGGGCGAGGAAGAAAGAAAGGGTCAAAACATTCAACAATTGTTACGAAGTTAAACTTGTTTGGAAGCGCTCATCCCTCCCCTAACCAGAGACAGTGGTGTAACAGCACAGCATTATGCCTCTTTTTGGTCATATAAGTCTTTTCATGTTTATGTAGCTTTCAATGTTTTGGTTGTGAGCATTTATGATGAATGTAAATCCAGAAAAGCGCGTCGATCTCAACAAATTTATAAAGTGTTATTTTCATTGTTTTATAACACTGGGTTGATACCGCTGCTGGTGGACTGTTAGTCCCAGTTGGTATCATCAGCTCAGTAGTCGGTGCATCGGTGCTAACTTGATTTTTTTCTATAATGTACTTTTGTAAATGAACAATCCATTGAGAAATTGAAAAATTATTTAAAAATTGTTTTATTACTAACTGTGCAACACTTTTTGCAGACCTGTTTCTGTATTGTTACGAGTTACAATTTATGACTAAAATCAGCAATGACCCATCGAAACAACTCTGATACAAAAAAAAATTAATTACACTTTTAGATATATGGATTATATATTGGCTCTCAATAATGACGACTTAAGTATGTACACTAAAGAGATTCATCCTACTGAACTGACTTTAAATAAAGCTAATACTAACAATGAACACTGCCCTTTCCTGGGTCTTGATATCTATATCTTTAACGGGAAGCTTAATACCAAAATTTACGATAAAAGAGATGATTTTCATTTCCTATTGTTAATTATCCATTTTCAGATGGTGACGTTCCCTTGGCACCATCTTATGGTGTTTATATATCTCAACTTGTTCGATTCGCTCGTGTATGTAACAACGTTTTTGATTTACACGAAAGAAATCTCTGTATTGCCAGTACTGAAAAAATATTACACCAGGATTTTCGATATCAAAAACTTGTCAAAACATTTACTAAATTTTATTATCGGTACAAGGACATCATTCGTAAATATAGATCAACGTGCAGACATCGTATACATTCAGGTATTTTACATCCCATCTGTTATGGTAATATTCTATACAAAGCACAAAAATGTCGTCATTCACCTCAAAAGCTAACCAAGCCTTTAAACACCTCAAAAGCTAACCAAACCTTTAAACAGACTTATTCGGAAGGGATATAGTTACGATACTGTTGTCAAGTCATTAAGGATTGCATATTTTGGTATTAATATTGATTCA